GCTTTGCAGAAATTATCAGATTTATTAGGCTGACGTATGTTGACGTAGCCTTAGGCGTATTGTCGCTTTGTGGAAGTATCTGTTGGTGTGCACAGTACACTAGTCCAACAGATTTATTGAGTCAGACGACTTGTCCGCATTGGGACAGTGACAGAATGCTGAGGATAACAGGCGGAGCAAAGTAACTTGGCATGCATCTGGGCAATCAACACACTCATATCACAGCAGGTCATGCTTATGGCATGACCTTTACGGCAATCTGGCATAAGACTTAGGCTACAAAGAGAGGTGCCGATTACATCGGCACACTGCGGCCGGCCATCTATGAAGCAGAAGAAGAGGGATGAAGAGGACATGATAGAAACACATCAAATAATCTACTCCATTTCGTACTTTTTTCTTTTTGTCTGGATAGAGCAGTGGTCGTTGGTGAGTGGTGCGTACAGCTCGAATTGTCTTGAGATCCGCGAAATATGAGCGGACGTGGCGACGACAAAAGGGAGATGGTTGGAATAAGCAGACGATGAAATTGAATGAAAATGAAGTTTTGTGAATAGCACATTCATCACGATAGAGTGATAAAGACTTGCGCTCAGAGATATTGTCAATGTGCACAGTAGTCTTATATGGGAATAAAACGGGAATTCGCTCATCATTGAAGACGGCTGTCTTTGCTTTTCCTGTTACTGGAAGTGCCATGGCCTGCAGAGATGCCACAGCGTGGACGAGGAAGGTTGTGTCCGTGGATTGGTCATCGTCGCCATTGACTAATTGCACCTCGGTTTTTTGCGATTCTTTTGCTTCAACTGTCGCGCAGCTAAAGCCATCCTCATCGATAATTGGGATGACCGATCTAGCAGACTTCTGTTCTGTTTCGTCGTGAGCAGATGAGCCGTCTGTGGCAGAGAACTTCTTAGCGGATAAAGGCACGTTGTAATTCTCTTCTTCGGTTGCTGTTTCCAAAAAGGTATCCTCGTCTCTGTTAGTTTTTTGCAGTGAATTGAACGATTTTTCACGTTCCAGTCTGGACAGTTCTATCTTTAGCTTTGATTCACATTCTTCTAGTGTGTAAATAAACATTTGGACATCATTAATGATTTGACTTATCTCTTTGTCGAGCGAATCTCAATCTTCTGCCACTAGCTTCTTGATCTTGTACTCGCTTGTACGCAGCTTCTTTAGCGCGTCGGTTTTCGATCGCATCAAGTGTAAGCCCGGGAGGATGTCGAAAATGCACTTTGGTAGTGCCTTCAATTTGTCGACGCATATTTCTTGTCGCTCCTGTATATCGTCTGGAAATAATATTTTCTCACCATAGCTCGCGTACTTTCGTAGTAGTTCCGCGAGTCTTTTGGCGTGTATCTTCACATCCTCCCTATGATGATACAAAGTCGGAATCGCTCCATTGTGGCTTCTGTCTTGTTCTTGGAAGCGGAGCATGGTATCGGTCTTGTTTAGCCGATGCACCAGAAATATTAGGCTGACGTATGTTGACGTAGCCTTAGGCGTATTGCCGCTTTGTGGAGGTATCTGTTGGTGTGCACAGTACACTAGCCCAACAGATTTATTGAGTTAGACGACTTGTCCGCATTGGGACAGTGATAGAATGCTGAGGATAGCAGGCGGAGCAAAGTAACTTGGCATGCATCTGGGCAATCAACACACTCATATCACAGCAGGTCATGCTTATGGCATGATCTTTACGGCAATCTGGCATAAGACTTAGGCTACAAAGAGAGGTGCCGATTACATCGGCACAAGATTATTACCATATTATAAGAATTATCAATTGTCAAGTACTCGAAAACAAAAATTGTCGAGTGAAAATGCAACGCTCAAACATGCCAAGAAAGCAGTTATCGGGTCATATATTCTTCGTTCATTGAGCAATTGAACATATATAGCAGATTTATAGCGGAAGTTCTTGGCTCAGTAGAGAGTTCAAAAATCATGCGACATTCGCCTTGTGAAAAACTGTACGGCTAAATCGACATGAAAAGCCGTGATTTTCACTTTATCGCATTTTTTGAGCATCGAGTCAATGTAAAGTAGTCAAAGGCGCGTTTTTACCTCAAAAATTTCCACGGCTTCCCTCCCAGGTCATTTACATTGTGTGGCCGCAATGTAAATGTGCAAGATTCAACTAGTTTCAAGCTTTTAAAAGCCTTCTAGGAGCCACACTCACAAAATGCGCAAAGGACAGAGTTTCAGCAATCGGATTCAACATGATGCGCTGAATTCTCAGCGATACGCGATTTTGCTTTTGCTGCTCATTTACATGGCATTTCAAAATATGTATTGCTCGTTTGCAATAACTCTCTTTTTCAAATAGAGCAGAACTTTGAATATCATAATGTAACGCTACCTTCGAATTAGATTCGCAAGAATACGGATCAACAATAACTTTTCATTACTTCAAAATCACAGTAGGAGCCTTGACTAAAAAGCGCTTTATTATGATTACAAGCATTGCTGATTTTACATGGTCCGGAAAAAGTACTGTCCCTTAAAATAATGCTAAATATATCAGCGATCTCTTAAATTTTTCTGGTATTGACATAGATTCTAAGATGTGAATACATTCTAGTATTATGCAAGAGCTGGCTCCAAAATTCTGCAATTTTACCCGGCGACAAATCCCTCTTCGCAACGGATCCTACGTCAAATCTTGCATCTCTTCCGGCGCTTTGGCGGCTGAGCTCTAGGCCGGCACTGTAGCCATTTTGAAAGCTCTACGGACCACCCACAGAGCGCTTCGCAATCTTCAGAAGATGACCTTACACAGGACATCTTGTCGGACTTCAGTACTGATTTGAGAAAAATGTCCCGTCTTCGCGACCCAGCGGAATACGTTGCGAAAGCGAAACATCGATGGGCCGGTCACATCATGAGAAGAACAGACGACAGATGGACATTAAGAAAGTCGAAGTGGATTCCTCACGAAGCAAAACGTTTCTCAAGGAAGTTCTCCAAGGAGATGGGCAGACGTGTTTGTTGAACGGATGAGCCAGTTGCGAAATCTGCTGGATACGATTTTCCCCTGGATCTCGTATACGCAGCCGCAGACCACAGCCAAGAAGATTGTGGATGTCTGAAGTGAGGGAAAGGGGTAAAAGAAAACTTCTGTGCATGGATCTGCAGGTCACGTGAACCGTGCCATGAGCGATTGCGAAGTTGAGTAGCTTCCAGACTAAGAGGTGTGATATATATGTATCTACATCTACAGCGTCTTCAAAGCCTGTACGTAGCATGCTTTTCTTAACGGCTTTGCTGAACTTTTCACATATATAAGGGATACAGAGAGGTATCTTAGCCTGGCTTTCATTCGTGTAGGGTCTGCGCTTTTGCCAGTTGTTTTCTACAAATGCGTTGCAAGGTAACCTTTGATTGTAAGATGTGTTTGGCAAGATAATGCAGCACATTCCTATTTATTGGATGAATGCCTTAGCAGCTGCGAACATATTGCCAACTGCTCTCTTTGTACTCCCCATGGGTGCGCAGAGAAGCAATAGACCACTATATTCCTGGTCCCCGATTTTCGAAAACATTTGGTCGTACATGATCCATCACGTGACACCTGCACGTTAAAGGCACCGTCCATCCAAATCCTCAACTTCCAGGTTTTTGTCCTTCCAGGCCTTCTCATACGCCTATCCGAATATATAGTCGAGAATCCGCAAAATAACCAAAAAACCCGTTTTTTAAACGGCGCAATGCAAGTCGCAGGGCTGCGCGTTATACGCCCGGCGTATATCAGCGCCGCAGCTCGCCTAACCTGCAAAATGGGCGGAGTGACCAGCTGGGCGAAGCGACTAGCTTCGGATTACGTCCCTTCCGAAGCGGATTTCTCGCTTAGGAAGAAATCTTTTGCGGCGCTACTTCGAGCAGACGACGAGACTAACGCGAGCAGTGCCTTCTAGGTCATGAAGCAACGCCGTACAGGAGCCAATCTGGTTGAAGCAAAGGGTACCGAGGCTGGCTTTTTAGCAGCTCAAAGCAAGTGTTTATTTCATCACGTATTGGCAACAATATTCCATATAGAAACAGTAAAGTATTGACTTACGAGCAAGTATTTGGCTTTCATTTTTTTGATGTTTAGGTAATGGCTACAGCAAGTGCCTGAATTTGCCTCATCGCTAACCCTCTAAAAGCAGTGCTGCCCTGCTTAATGAAAAAAGTTGCAACTTATAATTAGATATCTACTCAAAAGCAGCAGCCCTGTCGGAAATCGGATCCATACATGTTGACTGTAGTGTGAGGCTTGCATAGATTCGAATACGACCTCCATAATTCGATACGTTTGTATATTATGAAGTGACATCGAATGTTTTGACAACGGGCATGTCTTAATCGAGGACCTTGCTAACTCGCTTCCAGAACCTATCAGTTTTTGGATGAGCAGGTATATGTTGAAGTAACTGTATGAGAATTTAAATGAGAAATCAAGTTATCCTGCCAATAGGGCCTTCTCAACTGCACATTATAGGCGCGTTGAATTCTTTGGGTTCGTGGAGAGAAAATTGGTAGCTGTGAGTTTGTGTCTTTTTACAAGTACGTAACGAACTGGATATCTGAGCAGATCTCACTTTTGATGATAAAATATCGATTTTAGATGTGTCGTCAAATTCTTAGGTAGTCCGACAGAAACTGCGTTTGCTAAACACCTTTAATAATGCGATTTTCAGATCCCTGGTTTCAAAAAACAGCTCTGTACATGTTTCTGAAGCAATTGAATTGATATTTTTAGTCTTCAAAAGTCACTTCCTTGTTAGCCTTCCGATCCCAGTTTTTTTTGTATATCAACAAACCACTATGTTGGTAACGAGCACTAAATTTTCCTTTTTATCATCGGCGAAAAAAGTGCGAATTTACTGGATTATCAAACAACTAATCTTTGGAGAAAACGATACAAATCGCGTAGCTGTTGGGTGAAATGACCTTACAATGACTATGTGTCTCCGTCTCATTATTGCAAAAATTAGTAAAAACAAGAAACTGATTCGACAATTGCTCAAAGCCTGACGGTGTTGCAATTTGTCGTCTACAACAATCAAATGCACTTTTATTTTGCATCTAGTGCAAAAGCCATTTTCTTGCATACAAAAGATCTCAAGATTTGAGTGCAGAGGTAGTCGTTCCACTTCCGATGCCGTAAACTGAATTTGTTGTCTAGATTGGCTGCATAAGGATCGGAGGCAATCTGAAAGAGTCACAAAATCTACACATGGAGTTAAAATTGTATCGAATAGGAAAGGTCATCCCAATTATCAAAACTGTAGAGTAAGAACGAGAATGCATTGACAATTGGGGAAATCGATAGATAGCTATCAGTGGCATCGACAAGCAGTGCAATTTTGAGTTGAATAGAAGAAACACGAAAGTCCTCAATGTCCGCATAATATTTACTTTACACTATGAGGCTAAACCTAATTTTAACCAAGTTTTCTGGAAGACTAAAAACCTCTGTGGAGAATAACGACAAAAAGTTTGAAATTGATACTAGTATTTTTATTCACTATCTCGTTAAAACCTTTTTATTTTCGGATTTGCATGATTTCAACTTTCAAGAGGAAATCGTTGAAGTAGAAAACACTTTTTTGCTCAATTTGATTACGACAAAGCATACCCATTGCAGTGATTTCTGGAACCGCCGGTGTTCGAGTGAGTTTTACGATAAACTATTTTCAAAGAATAGTTTTGAGCAAAAAAACAAAAAACGCCTTCAAAGTAGTTTTGATTTTGCAGTAGAGATGGTCTTCGGTACAGTTTTTTTTATTTCATAAAGCAATCTGAAAAATTCACATTTCGCCTATTCGTACTTCCAGCCCTGTACAGTTTGAGACGTAGCGAACTAACTGTAAATTATCTTCTTTTCTCGCTCATTGCTCTTTGCTTTGCATGAAGGCGCTTAGGTACCTTTACGAAAACAAGTACTTCCAATCAATCGTGCAAATCTGTTCTTCTTCTATCGATCTTCTTCCTTCAACCTTGTTCTTACCGGATATGTTTTCAATACAAAACTCAAGTTTCTCTAATGGTTAGTTCGCTAAGCATCTGTGAGTCAAATGAAACCATATCGCTTTCAAACTCGAGAAAGTGCGGAGTTACCTAAACAATTCCAAAATCAAAGTACGTGTGAGAGTATTTTTAGATAAAAAAAAGAGGATAAGCGTTTCTTATGAAACGACACAGCTACAATAAAGCGTTTTGACCTCAATGGGGAACCCGCAAAGAGGAGAAAACGCCAGCAGCGCGAGCGAGCGCACATCAAAACCACCTGTTGAAGTGAACTTTGTGTCTCGCAAACGCATGAAAACCATTGCTTTTTATTTTTGCTTTTTCCTTTCCGGTCTTTGACCATTTTGACTGTGCGAACATGCTTGAATGCGCATCTAGTAATGTTCTTAACAACAGTTCAGTTAGCATAGAGGTAGGGTCTTTTTTTTGTACAGAGGGCGAGAAAATGCTCAATCGTCCTAATTACCAGTCACTTATTGCACATTTTTCTTTGGAGGAGAGTTCATAACATTGGTGGTATCTAAAGCCTTCTGAGGGTTCCCCATTGCAGGTTCCCTATTAAGCAGCAGGCCAATCACCAGTTTCGCTTCATATGTCGCGGACGCCAGTGCCCGCGCCCGTACGGGTTGCACCTGTACAGGAGCTCTTATACAGAAGATTGGTAAATAATACCGCCCTAGAACAGGTTTCGCTTCCGTCTGAAATTCAGGAATGAACAAAAATTTTAAAGGCTGGCCAAGATCAGGGCCCGGCACAAGGTGGGCAAACGGGGTTTTCCAAAACGAATACCCCTTTGATCCCAGTAAGTTTTACGAATACTCCCTTGAGCCCAAAAATGACGTTTTGTGCTTGTGCGACGAGATTACCGGCCACACTTCGCCTAAAAGCGCTCAAAAGCGCCCAAATTGCTCAAATTCCTCATATTACTCAAATTGCTGTACCAAGATAGGAAACAGGAAGAAAAATAAGCAGTAAAAAGGATTAGGGAATGAGAAAATATCAAAGAATTGCAGTCATAGGAATGAGAGACGCCGTTCCCGCGCGTATCGATTGACTGGGGCGCGCTTTCTATCTTAGAAAGCTGGGCTGCTGATGCCATTTTGGGCTCCAACAAGGACAAGAGGAGGAGTTTCGGAACCAAAATTTCACCATATAGTAAACTTTAGGTGTACAACAGATTTATGTAAAAATTTTGAGAAAATTATGTGAACTGAGAGTTTTGCCGACCTCAGGTGGGAATTAGGTCGGCAAATGCCGACCTAATTTGGAAATAAGTTAAGGAAACTCTTTATTCACATAAGTTTTTCATAATATTTCATACTTTATTACTTAGTCCTATTGCGCATATACACACCGAAGCCCGCGCGATTTCGTTACCTCTGCGTTGCAAACGAGCCATTTTTCCATTTCTTTGGTAGCGCAAAATTTCCAGAAAAAAGTTTGCCACAACCTTCAGTCACATAATTTCTCAATGAAACTCCTTAGTTAAGTCCTGCAAGCCCGTGTGCATGTACTTACCAATTTTCATACCATATCGTTCATCTGCGCTTTCCAAGCGAGCCGTTTAAATTCACATTTTCATTTACCAGTTTTGCGAAATTCTCGGAAAAAATGCTAATTACTCGTTCCGTTCACATAAGTTTTTCATAATTTTTCATACTATGTTTCCATTAGCTTCTGTCCGTTCGCACACAAAATTTGGTGCCATATCGTTACACACACATTGAGAACTAGTCATGTAGGCAGTTACAAATAGCATCGCTTGGGCGACGTCGCGCGTGCGGCACTTAGCGACGGCGCGGTTTGACGCGCGCGAACTCCAGTGTTCGCCTGTTGAGGCACATAACATGTCAAGATAAGTAGCGAGCATGAACTATCAATTTTTTTCCGGGGCTCTGCCCCGGACCCCGCAAAAACGATTTCCCCTTTGCTTTTTGGCCCCAGAACGATTTCCAGCTTGTCATTTGCCGACCTCGTGCCGGGCCCTGGCCAAGATTGTAGGGAGACCTAAAGTTTCTATCCACTGAAGTTATTCTTGGTTTCCAAAGTCTCTTGTGCATGTAACTAGTCAAAGGTCAAAACGCTTTATTGTAGCTGTGTCGTTTCATAAGAAACGCTTATCCTCTTTTTTTATTCAAAAATACTCTCACACACTTTAACTTTAGAATTGTTTAGGTAACTCCGCACTTTCTCAAGTTTGAAAGCGATATGGTTTGACTCACAGATGCTTAGCGAACTAACCATTAGAGAAATTTGAGTTTTTGTAGTGAAAACATGCCAAATAGACCTAAGCGCAGGTCTACGCTCAAATTTCAGCCTTCAGAATTAGTTTACGCTACTTTCAAGGGCAAAATAAATTACAAGCGTCATGTTTACAAAAAGAAATTTGTACGATATTCTCATGGTTGTCCGCAAAGTCGAATCCTGCTTTGTTTCAAACATAATTCTCACAGTTCAATGATAATGATAGAATCTCAAAATAGCTCACGAAGCGCCACCTTATTTGATATCTGTTACTGCTAGCTGCTAAGTAGTGAAATCAGCTATTATATTGCCTTCTCACTTACATAAGAATTTTGGTCAAAACCAAACTAACTCCAAGACTTGTCGCAATAATTTTTGCAGGACTACTTCTGCAATAGCTGCGTGCTAAGATCTGCGGGAATCTGACGTTCATACGAATACCCATACGTAGAAACAATGGCATAACTCAACTTCACGCTCAACATTGCAGACAGAATTCAAAAGCAAAACTTTGAGAGCAGGCCTGCGTGTAGCTTTATGTCGGGTGAGTTTCAAATAAAAAGGCTCAAATTTTTTTAGTGCCCACCTCGCTAAGCATGTGGGTCGCATGCTTCCAAACCAGCTTAAAAACCTGCGGAATTTCATGAACACATTTTCGGGGACAAATTACATGTGTAAGTATTTTCAAGTGGAAAAAGAAAATTAGGTTTTCTATTATGTCGGATGATTTCTGTTACACTTTTTTCTAAAATTTCTAGAAAATTCCAGAAGCTTTCTGAAAACTCCAAATCTGCAACAAGCTTAGGACATAGCAGGGTCTAACTACCAGCATGATTGATTCCGCAAGTGCACTAATGGCCAACAAGTTTACGGCAGTTTTGTAAAAGCAGTCAAATTTTTCAGTTTTTGTCTGATCTTTTTCTCTGCACCTACTTGCGCCTTTCCCTCTCCAGAATTTTTTTAGAACGTATTTTGGCATTGTCTCTTACATGGAGGCATTGCGGTGCTTTTAGCGTTCCAAAAACGAATGGTGAAAAAAATATCAAAAAAAAATTCAAAAACTTTCCTAAACTCTTCTTTTTATGTGCATCGTATAGAAATGAATACAGAAAACATAAAAATGATTTTTTGAAATTTTTGAAGACGTTTTATTCGTAAAAATTCCGATGATTGCAAAGATGGCGCACACTGAGATGTGAACCGCTCAGAAAAACGTGTGCAGACATGTCAGCATTATCCCCCCCCCCATATTAGCTAAACGCTACAGACTATGCCCTACCTGATTACCACATTGTCCGATCTATCGCTCATCACCTGAGAGAACGCCAGCTCATTTACAAAAATGGGAAGAAACGGATTTTTAGCCACAAAGTGAGTGTTTTGCGCAGGGATCGCGGATGCGACGGTACCCTTGTATAGGCCTTTTGACCCTGCCCATACACCGTGAACATGAGATCTTTTCAAAGCTTCTGAGATTTTTAAGAATTAAAATAAAAAGTGTGACAGAAATTATCCGACAACCTAATATAAAGTTATGGCACAGCAAGACTAAAACAACTATTTTGACTTCGACTATGTACATACACGAGAGACTTGGGAAGCCAAAATTCAGTTTACTGGATAGAAATCTGAGGTGGACCCATAGTTTTGGCCAGCCTTCAAGCCTGCTTTTTTTTGAAATTTTTGGCTTTTTTCTGAATAATCAAACGAAAGCGGGACTTATCTTGTTCACTGATAGGAGCTTTCACACACAAATAGCAAATTTCAGATCAATTCGTTGAAAAGCGAATGAGCTACGGCAGTATCAGGGTAGACCTATAGTTTTGACCAACAAAAGCAGATCTGTTTCAACTGAATAAATTTCTGCATGCATTTTTCTACTACAAATATCGACATAGCTACAGAATTGAAGGGCACTCAAGTATATATCGAGCATTTATTCTATGCCTTTCCGGATTTTTTTTCTTGATGAGGTCGAAATCGTTGCAAGCGAATTCACATGTTTTCGCGATCAACGCCTAGCAATTTCGAAAAGCAAAAGGCGTGAAGTTATATTGTTTAAATATCAATGGTCTAGTATGCATACACGTCATCAACTCTGAACGCAAAAAACCAATAAAACCCACATAATGCACAAAAAAATTGTACCATTTGATATTGAAATCATGTTTAGCGCTGCAATCAGCAGACATTGAATTATTTACCATATCAATCGACGCTTCGCTTGAGTAGGCCTGTTTCAAAATGCAGAAAGTACGGTGGCTGCACTGACGGCGCCAACTGCACCACTGCATTAGCGGCTGCCAATGCGGTCATTACTTCGGGGTGAGCGTCTACCGATTAGCCCAATATCAACGTGGCTGCAGCCTCTGCATTTTGAAGCGAAACAAACCATAAAAAGCATTACTTTCACCAACACTCAAAACCCCTTTTATATGTATAAAAATCGTACCATTACGCATTGTTGCATTCCTCCTTGATTACCAGGTTCCCCGGGAGCCCAGTTATGGAAGTCAACCTCCGTGCCGTCAATCCATATCCATTCAAGTGTAGAGTTGCTGTTCAAATGATTGGATTGTACCAGACCTATCCAAGTTGCTTGATCAGAACTAGACATTCTGATTCCCGACCTTGCCAACTCTTAATGACAAATATAGCACTTCATATTTGAAGAAAACAAGCTAAGTTGACCGGCTACAAAGGAGTTTTCGTCATGGCTGTGTATTGAAGTCAAATGTCCTCCAACGGCAATGCATCGGCTTTCAGCATTGTCCCAGTCGTCCAAGAAGAAGTTCTACAAAGTTGTTCTAAGCAAATTAACACCGAAATCAACTTCTACAAAAGATGATTTATCCCACAAATTTTGTAAATTGTTGTGCAATATATGTGTATTTTATTTTTATCTCTCAGTGGCGTAAGAAACTATAAAAATGAGCAAATAACTTACACAAACGATAAATTTCAAAATGAAATTAGCCTTGTACAAGTAGCTAGCATAGTAGTATCTTGCGAAGTCCGACTAAAGCTTCATTTTCCTGCATATGTGCAGAAACACAAGCGCAAAAGTTTCTATGAAAGTATGCAAAAAACTTTTTTTTGAGACTTCCTCCCAAATTCTAAAAAAGTTTCACTTTTAGTCTGAGTTTTGATCAGTCTGTGTCAGTGGCGGTCTAAAGGGAGGGGGGGGGGGGGCGAGAATGGGTCGCGAAAAACCTACTTTTATGGGTTATAAAAATGTGCAAGTGACTCATTTATACTTGTAAATATAGTTAAAACAACCGAAAAATTTCGTCGAACGAATAAATTTCCAATAATTCCGATAATAATTTCCGCCGAGCTGCCCCAGCGCTGTTTCGGTCGATACACGTGCTCTTCGTTGGGGTGGGGCTAGCTGACCTAGTTCTCAGCCAGGTAGATGCACCGACTATTGATCGAACCTGCCCCAGAAGCTCCGGTAGCCGTTGCCCGCAGAGGGTCAGCTAACCCCTCCCCGAACAAACGGGACAGCTCGGCGCTAGCTCGGCGCCGGCGCTGCGCTGGCGTGACTTCGGCACTCTGGCGGGAGCCTTAAACTTGAACTTAAACCCCATAAAAGCTGTGGCTGCCACAGCTTTTGTGGGGTTGTGCCACACCCCATTGACTACATCAAAAAAACATTTTTAGCGGACAGTATTTATATGAATCGATAGCATAAACCTTTTAGATTCCATAGAAATGTTTTAAGCCTGATTCGTCTTCTTAGTCTGAGCAATATTTCGTGAAAGCACAGCCATTAGAAGCGAAAATTGGGAAAAATGAGGTTTTGGTTGGCTTATAGTTCCACAGAATGGAGGTCTTTTGAAGCGGGATTTCTGAGATGGACAAAGAGGAAGTAGTGCTTTGTCTCGAGTGCAGAAACGGATAGCTACTTCACCTTTGGAATAAAGTTGACCATGTTGAACAATGACCATTTCACTTAGGTAGCCTGGTATCTTGAACCTTCAGAATTCGCTCAAACTTTGTCTACAGGGGTTAATTGACATGCTAATTATGGATATGATACGAATATCACGTTATCACTATTATTAGATTACCCAACTACGACCCCCTCCCCTTTTGACTCCTCGATACGCCCCCCCCCCCCAAGTGTGGCGTGCCACACCCCACGCTTGACCCTGATCGCGTACTCAATAATCGATAAGATGAAATTCTAGAAACACACATATATATATACACTAGCTGGCCTACCCGGCTCCGCTCGGCCCTATCAAAACGCTATGATAAAACTCTCATCCCTACTGTACAACCTTTCCCTTTCCTACATGCCAATTCACTATTCCCGCTGTTTTAGTAATCAGCATGCACGATTAACTCCCTGTGCCAACTTCCAGCCCATAGCTCAAACTTTGCAAAAAAATGATAAAATCGATAAAATCGATATCGATCGATGACGTAAAATAGCATATGACACCCCCCCCCCCCCCGGCCCCGGAGCGTTTGTGTGCCAAGATTGGTCCGGATCAATTCAGAAAAAATTTTCTATTCGGAACATACGTACATCATACATACATATATACAGACAGACAAACATACATACGTACAAGTGGCCGTCCCAGGATTTCCGTCTGGGGGGGGGGGGAATTTTTTTTAAATGAAGGTGCGTGGCGTTAGATAACAGAATGGCTAGCAAGGCTCCCTTTGAGGCAATCACAAGTCATGCCGGAGCATAGTGATGACAAGTCTTATGCATAATTCATTTGGAGTGGTGAACTATCTTCTGAAAATCAAGTCGAAAAGTTGAGATGCGATATTATGCGCAAATAAATCCAAGCCCTAATTGAGTGAAGAAGCAAAGCCGTCATGAGGCGCTTTTTAGCGGACCTTCGGTCGTCAAACAGCTTGCATGAGCATATGAAGGACCAGTCCTTTAAGGAAGCATGTGTAGGCAGCATTCATTCCTTCACCCCGAAATCCCCACTTGCCTTGTCAGCCTAATCACTCGCATGTCAAAATACCTGAAAGATACGTTAACCAGCGCAAGGCCAGAGCAAGGCGGTCGTGAGGACCTAAGCAGCTTGACTTGTGGCGGCAGCCTGTAAGTCAGTCACCATACTCAAATCGGCTATCTTATAGCAGGAGGCATAAAAAACTGTTAGAATGTTGCAAAGTTCGTAGAGGAATAATACTTCGAGTAGGCGCATAGGTTGAACAGTAATTATTTTGAACCTGAGTGAAAGATATGGAACTCTTATAGCAAAAGTACAAACCTCAATAATATAACCAAAACTACTTTGTGAAAATTCAATCCTACAACAAAAGTGTGAAACTCAGCGATTGATAATTTCCGACAAGTACTAGATTAGCAGCTAATATATAATAGGTCGGTTCAAAAGTCTTTCCTTTTTTTTCAACCTGTCATAAAAACATGTGGAATAAGCTTAGGCAAATGCTTTGAGCAATGTCAGATGCAGTTTTTCTTACTCTTTCCAACAGTCAACTTTTTGGGACAATTTTCAGCGGTTTCTGAGATAATTGTCGAAATTTCAAACCCATGGTTTTTACCATGTCCGAATTCGGCAACTTTTCAAAATCTTCGTTGTAAACTTTTGGAGAAGCTTTGATAACTGTTAGGTGGCGTAAGCAAAGTGCAATCCAGTACAATTTTCTCGCATCTTCAATCAGCTTTTTAGTATTTTTTAGGATAGCTTTTCCAGAAGTCTTCAATTCTGCAAAGTCGCAAAATACACAAAGGCTCCAAACACTAACAAAATGGTCGAATTTGATACTTGCAAAGTTCGATCATGGTTATACACTAACTTTACAAATTAACAGAGTGTTTGCCGCTTCGAAATATCAAATTTGACATTTTGCGGATACAGCCTGGGGCGGGTGCAAAATCACGAATTATTGTAATTTTATCGCCGAAGACTCCACGAATTGGGAAAAGAAAAGGCCTCTCAGAAAGGGGAGAGAATGCTGCATCGTTATAGTTTGACTGTGGTCCGTTCAATGTTCTGTGAGTTTTGGGATGACCAAAATGGAATTTGATACCATCAGGAATATAATTGTAAAAATCTTAGAAAGCCACCTATTGGGGCCATAAAATTTCACTGCTTTGTACATTGTTTACGCCATCTAACAATTATCGAAATCTCTCCAAAAGTTCACAATGAAGATTTGAAAATTGCCAAAGTTTGTTATTTAAAAGCCATGGGTTTGAAATTTCGGCAATCATCTCGAAACCAACACAGTAAATGGTCTTAAAACATGAATGATTGAAAGAGGAAGAAAAACTGCGTCTGCTAGTCCCTAGAACATTCGCCTACCCTTATTCTACGTGTTTTTATTGCAGGTTGAAGAAACGGAAAGAACTTTTGAACCCACCTAACATTTCCAGCACTTCTCTTTTCTGGATTTAGATGCGCACAAAAGTATTATGTAGACAACAGTGCATCCCTCTGCTGCAGATGTTCACTGATTCTATTACTATACGGCTTCCTACTGCTCTCCCAGTGCTAGTCTTAGAATCACCAATGCTGACCGTCACGAATAAATTACAAACAACTCATACTTATTCCAAAAGATTTTCCACGTAGAATCTTTAGCTTTGAGAGAAAGTTCTTGCTTTGGGAGAAACTTTTGTGAGGAAGAACAAATGCGGAATTGAAACATTTACTAAGCAAGGCTCAGTAGCCATCTCAAAAGACATAAACACCTTGAACTACATGTTTGAGTGAAATTCTTCTGTTTCCTAGAGCGGAATCCTGACCAAGCGACAATAACCCAGTCATCCTTACCACTTGCTAGCATATAATTATCAGCTACAAATCTAGATCAAATGTAGCTATTATTTTTTTGCAGAAAACTGCAACAAAGAAAAAACCAGCATTGTTTGAGGCGCTAGATTATCAAGTTATTCGAATAGTCGAATATTCGGACAGGTATGATTATTCGAATATTCGAATAGTCGAATATTCGACCAGCCCCATTTATTCGAATATTCGTTCATTCGAATTTTAAATGTAGCATTATTCGAATATTCGAATTCAAATAATTTGAAAATCACAGATCGAATAGTATTTTCATTCGAATATTTTTCAAAAGCCGATTATTGGAAATTTATTCGTTCGACGAAATTTTTCGGTTGTTTTAACTATATTTACAAGTATAAATGAGTCACTTGCACATTTTTATAACCCATAAAAGTAGGTTTTTCGCGACCCATTCTCGCCCCCCCCCCCTCCCTTTAGACCGCCACTGACACAGACTGATCAAAACTCAGACTAAAAGTGAAACTTTTTTAGAATTTGGAAGGAAGTCTCAAAAAAAAGTTTTTTGCATACTTTCATAGAAACTTTTGCGCTTGTGTTTCTGCACATATGCAGGAAAATGAAGCTTTAGTCGGACTTCGCAAGATACTACTATGCTAGCTACTTGTACAAGGCT